CTCTACCCAAACTGGAAGCTTTATGAAGTGTGTTCAGCTTGTCTGTAAAATTTCTGAGAAAGCATGCACAGTACCTTTCTGAAGCCAGAAAGAAACTATGGTCTTCTCAGATCATGCCTCGAGTCTCTAGCAGATAGGTCCCATGTATGTGCATTTCCAAAGAATGGGTTCACCATAGTACACAGTGGGGAGAAACTCAAACCGACTTTTTTTATCAAAAAATACCTTTATTTATTTATTTATTTTTATATAGTGCTGAGGATCGAACCTATTGCCTCACACTTGCTAGGCGTGCTCTCTACCACCGAGCCACAACCCCAGCCCCTTGAACTGACTTTTGTGAAAATCTCAACCTCAAAATCATTAGCAGGGCCACCAGCTAATGGCCCCTGTCTGCATCTCATTTTGCTCATCTGTAAAATGGGGAAAGTGTGACTTTTCCATAGGATGTTAATGAAATAATGGTCATAAGATGTTTAGTCCATGTAATAGTTCAAGGTAGATCTTGGAAAAAAAAAAGTTTAAAAAATGATCTGTCTTGTTTGGAATCTTCTCTGTAGGGAAAAAAGCCTGAAGATTAATGGTCAGAAAGAAACAGAAAAGGTACACCATAGAATCAGAAAGTATGTCTTATGTGGATGCTATTTTTATAATTACACATTACACTCTAGGGAGGAAAACTGATGAAGATCATTGACACTTGTTTATCAGGTGTGATGAATGCTCTGGAAAAAAAGCATTGCGTAAATTCAAGCAGAATTATGGGTTTAGTGGGCCTAGGAATGTAGCTCAGTGGTAAAGCAGGTGGTTAGCATGGTCTTGGCCCTGGGTTCAGTCTCCAACACTTAAAAAAAAATCATTTATTTATTTATTGGTGCTGAGAACTGAACCCAGATTCATTTTACTACAAAATATCCTTTTGGTTTTTTATTTTGAGACAAGGTCTCACTAAGATGCCCAGACTGCCCTTGAACTTGCAGTCCTCCTGCCTCAGGTTCTAAGTGGCTGGAATTACATTTCCACACTGGGGTTGGGACCCCCTGCTTCACCAGGCAATGCTTTCCGCTGGGCAAGCAGCCTTTCCCTGCTGTCTGCCAATCTTCCTACCAAGTCTCTCCCTCCTTGAAGTCCTCCTTTCCTAATCTCAGAGAAATCTCTGGCCTATATCTTCTTCTTCACCCCTCTGGCCAGTCCCAGCCATTCCACCTCATTCTTCATTGGAACAAACCTCCAAATTCTTGAGAGCCCTTGTAGGCTTGGATGTTTCATGCACAGGCAAAACATCTGGCTAATCCTGTATCCTTATCTCCAAGAATGCTTCTACTCTCTGGACTTGGCAGAAACTGAATTTGAATCCCAGGACTGACATGCGCTGCCTCAGTTTTCTCACCTGGCCAAAAGGCTATTAACCTTAAGGAATTTTTATGGGGATGAATTGAGAAAGGGAACCAGAGGAAGGGTGATATGCTTCCAATGGGGGATTGGGAAAGGGGAATGTCTTGGAGGAATGTAGGAATGTTGCCTCTGACCTTGTGGGAGGGTGGTGGCCTTCTGTCTGGATGCAGGAATCCCTCCCCCCACCTCCTCAGGCTGGCCCAATCCTCTCCAACTCACTTTCCTGTCCTGTATGTTAGTCCACTACCTCTTTATCTGTATCCAGCTCTGTTTCCAAAGCACACAGCTTATCTTTGTGGCTACACACACTTGCTACTTGCTTGCCGGGTGGTGTATAGAGAAAAATCTATCCCTGTGGCCAACAGCTCTTCAAACACCTCCCCCCCCCTTTTTTTCTTTTGGTTTCTTAAAATGTGGACAATAAGAATGTGCACCTTGTAGAATCCCATAAGTTGTTTTTTTTTTTTTTCACCAGCATTGTTCAGTAAGATAGCATCTAGCTACAGGTGACTAATTTAAATGTAAATAAATGAAAATTAACTAAAGTTTTTTAAAAAAACCTCAGCTTAATCACACATGACAAATCAGGTGCTTATTACCCATATGTAACTAGCGACCACCCCACTGGATGGCACAGATAGGGTATAGTTTCATCATCGAAGGATGTTCTAGGGATGGGGTTTGGCTCAGTGGTACAGCCTCTGCCTAGTGTGTGCAGGGGGCCCTGGGTTTCATCCCCAGCACTACCAAGTTGGATGGTGGGGGAGCTCTGTTATACAGATCAGAGAGTGCTGGTTTGGGATAATACATGTGGACTCTGAACCACACATCAGATATGTGTTATAACTCACTCAAAGTTGTAAAATGAGGCAGCTCTGTGATTTCTGTGCACAGTTCTGCACTCCTTGAAGTTCTAGCAAAGACCAGGGGCTCATAAGGAATGTTGGACTGGATGGGGACATTCTTCCTGGAAATGAGTTTTTGGGGCTTAGATAGTGATGCTCTGAAGCATGGCACTTTGGCATCCTGAGTACTTTGAACTGAAGGATATTGGAGAGGCTCATAAGCAGTCTCTCTCTCTCTCTGAACTTTTTCTGCCTTTCTTTCTCCAGCTCCTCTACCACCCTCCAAGGCAGGTCATAGGAATTAGTACCCCTCTCCATCAAAGCCAGCCATAAACCCCAGACCCACTACTCTTTCTCTTTTTTGTGTGTAAGAGCTGGTCATTGAGAAATCTTCTAACCTATCTTATCCGACAGTAGGTCATAAAACCCTCATTCTAGAGGGCATCCTGTCCTATACTTTGGAGGAAGGAATGCTACTCAGAGACCAAGAAGAACCTGGACAGCCTTTGCTACTTGCTGCACTCAGTTGATTACATTAGGTCATTTCTACAGGGTCACATTTTTACAGGGCTGCTCATTCTTTATCAAACTTAAGCATAAAAATAAACAACTTTCCCTGGGCCTTGCAGTCTTTATTCTGAAGGCTTTTCTTTTGTTAACCTGTCTTTTGGAGCATTGACTATGAACTTACCATGGGGAGGGACTCTGTCCCTACCTGGTAGATTAAATTTAAAATGGAGTGACAGTTCCCACTGCAAGGCAGGCATGTGAAGTGTGATTCACTGTTCTGGTGAAGAAGGGACACTGAACAGTGGGAGCCACAGCTAATCCTAGGGAGGGATGTCTAGCATCTAAAACTTCCCAGTGTTGGGATTTTTCAAAGGAAAAGTGGTCATGTGGGTTTGCAGATGTGTTAGGGTCCCTCCACCCCCATTTTATTGTATTTTTGCTAAAGAAAATAATTCTAAATCTCAACTTATAAGACCCATAAGGGGTACAATTGTCCATTTGACTTCTTTTTTTTAAAGAGTGTGTTTAAAGAGAGAGAGAGAGAAAATTTTAACATTTATTTATTTTTTCTCAATTCTCGGCGGACACAACATCTTTGTTGGTATGTGGTGCTGAGGATCGAACCCGGGTCGCACGCATGCCAGGCGAGCCCGCTACCGCCTGAGCCACATCCCCAGCCCATTTTTTTTTTGATACTTTTTTTTTTTTAAGAGAGAGAGAGAGAAAATTTTAACATTTATTTATTTTTTCTTAGTTCTTCGCGGACACAACATCTCCGCCTGCATGTGATGCTGAGGATCGAACCCGGGCCGCACGCATGCTAGGCGAGTGCGCTACCGCTTGAGCCACATCCCCAGGCCCCCATTTGATTTCTTTATAGGAAAAATAAGTGTGTGGCTCAGAGAAGTCTAGTGACTTACTTTAGTGAGCAAGGGCAGAATGAGCCTTCTGGGCAAAGTTTCCCTGAAGTCTGAGCTTGGTAAAATGTGATGTCACCCTGGTAGCAGGGATGGTGTCCTCTACTCCCTTAAAAGCTCTGATTCATGTCCCAGATCCGCCTGTGACTGAGTCTCTGCTAACTCCCACCTAGGCTAGAGCAGCAGCTTTAAAGTGCAGCCTCCAGCTCCACCCCTCTAAGAGCCTCCCCCAGTAGCCTTTCTCAGGCTCCCTCTCATTCCAGGCATTTGGGGTTGTCCCTGCCTGTGTCCCAGTACACTGGTTGGGCACGTAGCAGGAGCTTTGTTGGGTGCTGGTGGAACCAAAGAGGAAAGGTGGTTTGCTGTTCTTGTGTACCCGTGTGTATGTGTACACACACACACACACACACACACCCCAGGTGGGCCTGCAAGAGGGGTGTCTGTAAACCTCTGAGAAACCCCTTTGGCAGTCTACTGAAGCCTATGGACCCCTTCCCAGAATAGTTTTTAGTATATATATATTTTTGAAAAATATATATATATTTTAGAAGTATACAAATATTTTTTTGAAAATATATATATTTTAGAAGTATACACGTTTAGAAGTATACAAATCGAAAGGGCCCATGAGTGAATTTTCACAAAGCGGACACAACTTGTGAACTCCAGAAATCATCCACGACCAGGGTGCCCTGGGAGGCTCCCCTCTCAGTCTCCGCCTCCCCGGAGAAGGCTGAACCCTCACAACACTTTCAACTGCAAGGATAACAAGAGTTTTAAGAGCATTTGGTGGGGCAAGGGTCTGTGCGTGTGGGTGTCGGTCATGCGTGTGTGGCATTGAGGGGACCTACCCGGGCGGCGGGACTTACCAGGTTCTGAGTGAAGACTGCAGAGGGTTTAGGTCTGGGTAGGAATTTGCCGGGGCTGGAGTGCGAGTCAGGGTTTTGGGGCGGGGGGTCGTCTCTGGGATTCGGGCGAAAGTCGTGGGGCGCCGTGGGAGTGCGGGGCAGGCCGTGGTGGGTTCTGTGAGCACAAAACCAGGGGTGGCGTGTGAGTGGGCGGAACCTCCGCCCCGGCTCTGGCACGCCCGGC